CCCTCCCAACCTCATTTGAGAACACTGGCCTAAAGGCTAATGCTTGGGGTTCCACTCCAGTTTCTTAGGATTTTGGTGTGGTGGAAAGAGCCAGGATGTACCTCTTAGTATTAGTCCCCTCACCATGGGTAGATTTGTATACCCAGCTGTTTCGAAAAGGCCTTTGGTCTGTCTGACTGCCTCTCTTTCCCCCATTCTTCAATGTCCACCTCCACAAGGCATTCCTTGATTCCCCTTAGTGAATTGTATAGAGTAGACACTTGATATATGTTAACATTTATTTTCTTTTGTCTTGTATCTTCATCACTGGTCTGAGTGCCTCAAAGAAGACATTCATTAAAACATTTTATTTCCTGTCAACTTGAAGGGAGGTCTAAAGGCTTGTTTTAATTTAAATTCAGGTTAAATATTTTTGGCAAGATCATAGATGATGCTGTGTCCTTCATATTGTAACACAATAGGGCTATATCTTTTTAAAAATTGTGGTAAAATACACATAACATAAAATTTATCATCTTCACCACTTTTAAGTGTCCAGTTCAGCAGTGTTAAGTATATTCACATTGCTGTGCAACCGATCTCCTGAACTTTTTCATCTTGCAAAACTGAAACTCTATACCCATTAAACAACAACTCCCTATTTCCTCCCTTCCTCCAGCCCCGTTGTTTATTTTAAACTTGGTTGAGATCAAAGTATGTTAGATTTTGTATCTTGCTTGTTTATCCTATTGTGGGTTTTTTCCTCATGTCATTAAAGGTTGTAGAACAATCTATTCTTTGAACATACCATTACCTTAGATGGAGTTCTGGTTTTTGACTGCTATAAGTAATAACTGCAAAAGGACTGTTTTTCTAAGCCTTTGATTCTGGGCTTTGTTTGGGCCCAGGCTTTATGGAGGTAGAGCAATATTTTCACCTCCTATGAGTCTGAGCACTGAGTGGTTAGGGAACATTTCTGTTCCTCTCAATGTCTCTTTTATTCCTTTTCTTCTCCCCTTCTTGAATTCTCCTCTACTTTTTCCCTTCCTCCCTTAGGTAAGTCAAATCTCATGGACGCCATCAGCTTTGTGTTGGGTGAAAAAACCAGCAACCTGCGGGTAAAGACCCTGAGGGACCTGATCCACGGAGCTCCTGTGGGCAAGCCAGCTGCCAACCGGGCCTTCGTCAGCATGGTCTACTCCGAGGAGGGTGCTGAGGACCGCACCTTTGCCCGTGTCATTGTTGGTGGGTGAGGCTGGCCAGAAGGCTCTCCTTGGTTCCTGAGAGGTGGGCTAGACTAGCTGGCTGGGGTGGGAGGGAGACCTGACCCTTGGCTGACTCATGTATTATCTTGTAGGGGGTTCCTCTGAGTACAAGATCAACAACAAAGTGGTCCAGCTACATGAGTACAGTGAGGAATTAGAGAAGTTGGGCATTCTCATCAAAGCTCGTAACTTCCTTGTCTTTCAGGTGGGCATTTTTAACAATTATTGGCTCTCTGCATTTTGCCAACCCTTGGGCCTACTCTATCTCCAGCTCCATCTCCTCTGAACTAATGTAGCAGCTTCCTCACTGGGCTTCCTGACTCCAGTCTGGCCTCTTCCAGTTCGTCCCCTAGGCCAGGTTCATCTTATGAGGGCAGAAATCTTTTTCTTTCTCTTCTCTCCTTAAAATATTTCAGCGATTTCTCATTGCCTAACGATGGTGGTTTTTAAATTATAGTCTCCAGATCAGCATCAACTGGGGACATGTTAGAAATGCACATTCTCGGGCCCCCATCCCAGACCTACAGACTTAGAGACTGTGGGGTGGAGCCCAACAATTTGTGTTAGACCAAGCTCTCCAGGTAATGATGATGTATGCTAAAGTTTGAGAACCGTTGCCTTTGCATGAAATCCAAACTACTGTCATCTAGGAACCATTGCCTTTGCATGAAATCCAAACTACTGTCATCACCGTCCTTTGGTTCTTGCCCACCTCATTAGCCTCATCTGTCAATACTCTCCCCCTCTAGTCCTATGCTCCAGCCTAATTAAACCATTTACAGTTCCCCAAATTGACCTGCTTTCTTTGGCTTCGTCTCTCTTTATTGGTTCTTCCCTATCTTCCAAACTCAGTTTAGATGTCAACTTTGGTAATCTTTTCCATATAGACACCCCTACCAGTCTCCTGCTCCCAAGCTTCATTTAGTCCTTTTTTCTGCTACTTCTGTCATTGCACATAACACACAGTGTTGGCTTTGCTTCTGTGTCCTGCTCCGCATGCACTTCAAAAGGCCAGGAATGTGTCCTCAAAGCACAGTGTGAAATGTGGCACCCAGTGTGAGAGGGTGTCAGTGAGCTTTTTCTGAATGACTGAGTGAGAGTAGGTAGGAGAACTGGGCTGGTTAGGGTCTAAGTGGGGAGAGTGTTTTGACCTTTACTAGGGTGCTGTGGAATCTATTGCCATGAAGAACCCCAAAGAGAGGACAGCTCTATTTGAAGAAATCAGTCGCTCTGGGGAGCTAGCCCAGGAGTATGACAAGCGAAAGAAGGAAATGGTGAAAGCTGAAGAGGACACACAATTTAATTACCATCGTAAGAAAAACATCGCGGCTGAACGCAAGGAAGCCAAACAGGAGAAAGAAGAGGTAGGTGGCCAGGCTACCTCTGGGCCCTGAGGGGCCAGCATGGGGAGCCAGTGCCTTACTGATGCACCCCTGCCTCCATGCCCGTATTTGCACAGGCTGACCGCTACCAGCGCCTGAAGGATGAGGTGGTGCGAGCTCAGGTACAGCTTCAGCTCTTTAAGCTTTATCATAATGAAGTAGAAATCGAGAAGCTCAATAAGGAACTGGCTTCTAAGAACAAGGAAATTGAAAAGGACAAGAAGCGTATGGACAAGGTAGAGGATGAACTAAAGGAGAAGAAGAAGGAGCTGGGCAAAATGATGCGGGAACAGCAGCAGATTGAAAAGGAGATCAAGTAAGAGGCAGGCCTTGGCCTGCAACTTGTGGGAAACCAAGAGACTATCCTCTAGGGCTTCCCTAAACCTAGAGTCCAGTGCTCACACTGCTTTCTCTGTTTTCCCCTTGACTTACTTTGGCCAGAACCAGGCACGTTTCTTGACTTTCATTTTAGACAAATAGAGTCTAGTTACTCAGGCTCTGGGTAGATAGGCACTCAGAAGAGGGAGAACTTGAAAGGGGTGGTGGCCTTCCCAAGCGAGAGGAAGCGATGAGAGGCTCAGGTATTAGAGTGGCTGGGAATGCCTTCCTAGAAGAGGAAAACTGGAGCTAGAAGTTTAAAGGACAGGACTTTGGAAAGGTTAGATCAGATAGGGGACAGCTAAGCGAAGATAGGGTGTTCTTGGGAGTTGTTACTGAGGGGTCTGGCCTGGCTGGTTGAGGCTGAGATGGTAGCTTTATCTTATGGAGTGGCTGGAATGCCAGGCCGAAGGTTCCAGGGAGTAGTCAGACTTCCCCTTTTTTGAGGATCTGTGGGGCCTCTGGCTGTTGTTCTTTTAGGCAATTCCTTGAGGCTGGCTGGTGTGGGAACTCTCCCTTCTCCAACAGTATTAACTGGTTTTCCCCCTCCCCTCTGGCAAAAGGGAAAAGGATTCAGAACTGAACCAGAAGCGGCCTCAGTACATCAAAGCCAAGGAGAATACCTCCCACAAAATCAAGAAGTTAGAAGCAGCCAAGAAGTCCCTACAGAATGCTCAGAAGCATTACAAGAAGCGTAAAGGCGACATGGATGAGCTGGAAAAGGAGATGCTGTCAGTGGAAAAAGCCCGGCAGGAATTTGAGGAACGGATGGAAGAGGAGAGTCAGAGTCAGGGCAGAGACTTGACTCTGGAGGAGAATCAGGTAAGCTCTAGGAGGGTTGGGGGGATAGGGAGATCACTGGGCTGACATGGACTGACTGGTCATCCGTGTCCTCCTTCCCTGTTTCTAACACAGGTGAAGAAATACCACCGGTTGAAAGAAGAAGCCAGCAAGAGAGCAGCTACCCTGGCTCAGGAGCTGGAGAAGTTCAATCGAGACCAGAAAGCCGA